TCTTCTACGACGTTTTCCTCAGAAATTACTTAAAATTACCTAATCTCCCTGCTATATTTAAGTCATTTGTGAGGGAAACGTCACTGAAGAAAAGTGGGTTAATATTGGTCCATTGGCTGTCCGCAGGTTCCCGCCATGTTTACCCGAGGTTATACTCCTAACTCGTCTCCTCCTCGTAGGTTAGGTTAGGTAGGTTCTTTGGTATGAGAATTAGTTTTTGGTGTACTTTGGTGTTTTACTCAAATTTGACCTCTATTTTATTGGCAAAATTAGCAGTTTGTTAAAATTGAAAATGTTCTTTTTTTGCAAAACACGTTACTTTACAAAAGAAAAGGGCACACTTGAGTACAACACTGAAAAATCTCGAAAAAAAACATTCTACAAAACCCGAGGACAGCCAATGGAACAACACATTGATCAACAACTCCATGGTTGTCCACTTATATTAATTCACCAGGGGCTTATCTCAAAACTAGTGATTTGCGCCACAAATGAAGGTCAAATTCGTTCATTACATCAAAAACCACCGGAAAAACATACTTTAAATTTTGATGTCATATAGCGGCAAAAAGTGGAAATATACCAATACAGTACTTCACCACCTCCACCAGATGACCCAGCACAATTAACTAAATTAACCATTAAATACACTCTGTCTAACCATAATAATTCTCCAATAACTTCTTAGTATTATTAATGTTAAATATCTGGTATAATATTATGAATAAATGTCTTACCGATGCCTCAGGCCGATATTTTCGGGGCTGTCAGATCGTGGTACACTTGGTCCGTCCTCCACCTTCTTCCTCTGTCTTGTGGCTCCAGCTGGTGATGGATCCAAGAACCACCAGACGAGAAACTCTCCCCTGTACCCCGTGATGAAGGTTTAGTAGTGCTGTTAACTCATAGATGGCGCTCACCTCCAACTCTCCCCTGTACCCCGTGATGAAGGTTTAGTAGTGCTGTTAACTCATAGATGGCGCTCACCTCCAACTCTCCCCTGTACCCCGTGATGAAGGTTTAGTAGTGCTGTTAACTCATATATGGCGCTCACCTCCAACTCTCCCCTGTACCCCGTGATGAAGGTTTAGTAGTGCTGTTAACTCATAGATGGCGCTCACCTCCAACTCTCCCCTGTACCCCGTGATGAAGGTTTAGTAGTGCTGTTAACTCATAGATGGCGCTCACCTCCATATCATTCCTTATCTTATTACCTTTTTACGTTGAATATATAAAACAGCCATTTGAATAATCATTTATTACCATTTACATAAAACTATGTTAGCATGTAATAGAGTCCGTAAAAATAAAATGATTTTAGGTGTGAAATAACTGAAAAACATAAAGATTTCAGTAATTTAACAAGAAAGAAAATGTGCCTTCGTTCTTGGGGCACTACAGAAACTTGTACTTCTTGGAGGAACTAAAGCAAATTATAGATCTATTATATATGTACAAACTTTGAAGTATTCTCACCACATTCATTAACAATACTGTAGGCTACGTTAGTAAAGCCTATATGTTGGTGGTACTTATATACTGCCTGGAATACTTAAGTACTGCTGGTTTACTTAAAGGGTGAAACTTTTATTATTTAGAATCAGTGTGACGTTGAACCATTTTTATTGTTACCAATACTTGTCACGATGTTGTCCAATAAGGCTTTTGAGACTTTATGGTTTGCTTGAATGGCTATAGGCAGTTGCTTACACTGTTAAAGAGGCCAATGAATTCTATAGTAGATTTAGGAATGTATAGAAGGAACCCAGCCAGACATTTATTGAATTAGTTTATTTTATTACCAAGCTTAAAGACTTTTCATTTTTAAATGAGCTTATTATGAGTGACCATTATCTACAGATTCAGATGTGTATTTATGTGGAAGTGACAAATGTAGAGAAACTTCCAACTTTAATATGCGCTGTATTTCTTTTATTCATAATCTTTCACATCAAAGTCAATTGTGATCTGGTTTTTGAAGTTTTGATAAATATAGCATGACGAATTCTACGACTTTCTATGGGCGGCCAGAAACAGACACCACCACAGTAAAGCCGCTAATGGTTGTTACGCCCGTTTAACTCCCGGTAAACCACATTCATTAATCTCTATAGTGAAAAATTAACAAGTTATAAATAGAAAAATATTAAACTAGCAATAGAAAGGCGATAAATAATCACGACATAGTGAAGTTTTATGGAACAATTATCGAGAAATGAAATGTCTTAAACACTTGTGATGAGGTGGTTAGCCCAGTTAAGAGGTGGTTAGCCCAGTTAAGATTTTCCCGCCTAATTCACATGTATCACCCCCCCCCCCCACCACTGCCGTCCTTAAATACTCTGAAAGCTGTGACGGGAGGTCAGTACTGATCATAACCTCAAAGGAAGTAATACTACTGGATCCATGGATATACATCTCTTCATTCTTCAAATGCTGGTGTTATTTTTCTTGAGTACAATTTTCTTGTTGGTTAAAAATGAGTTTTGTTGATTAACTATTTATATTTGATATAACTTGGTTATATATTAATGTATTTAGTGAATTATTTCTGTGTGATTGAGTTTGATACAAAGTATACTTCTATATTTAATCTCTGATTACTTGCTTGTTCCAGATATCCGAGATCTACGTGGCGCAACTACTGGCAATGTTTCAGTGAGGGGATGAATTTGAGTTTCACTATGTGAAAGTGGACCATCCAGCTCCACCCACGGCACCGTGACCTACCTACCTTAGTTATGTGGACAGTTAAGGACGAACCCGGCTAGAGTGGGGAATATTTAGAGGAGCGCGAACTGCTGTATTTATTTAACCATAGATATGATCGACATACTTCTACAATAAACTTTATTTTAACTTTTAAAACTCCGTTTTTTAGTTCCTTTAATAACGGTTTTCTGGGGCGTTTTAGACCAATTTAAGACTAGACTCGACATTTCCCTCTTAACTTGTATACAATTTAGCAGCTTAAATAATTTAGGTTTACATAAGATCGGCGACTACTATTGTTCTTGCTAGATGAGCCTTAATTCGGCTTCAAGACGCCACCAGACCATCTAGCACAATACGTCATGGTTTTGGTATGAATCGGTGGTAGTAGGAGTGGATTATATTATATAAAGATAATAATATGTTGTATTTCTTATTTCTTACCGTAGAGTTCGATACCTTCACACTGATTACTTACAGGAGATTATGGTGTATCTACGTAGAAGTTCACTCCACCACTCGACATTCCATGATTTATACTTGATAAATGATGATTTAATGAATTCATTTAATTTTCAACATCCATCTAAGTTATTGGTTATACTATGTCATAACCAATCAGTCATTACCTTTAGTAATAATAAGATAGGATCACAGATACTGGCAGATAATTGCACTTACATTTATTTGTCAAGCTTCCATACAATGATTTACAATTTGCATGGACATATGATTTACTCACGTTCACGCTGTAATAAAATTAATCTTCTAAAACAGGGAATTTCAACTTGGGCTGGGGCATTCCCCCCACCAATCTGTGCTAGCTGTGGCTGACACGGGTGCTATGGTGTGTGTGGCAGGACCATCCCTCCTCCAGGACATCGGTTTGTGTACGGGGCAACTTCGGGCCCGTAATGGCCTGAGGGACGTGGCGAACAAACAGCCTGGCGTTCTGGGGTCTGCCGCCTCCAGTGTGGGCGAAGGGTTCACCGTCCAGGAGGTCTACTTCGTGCAGACAACCAAGGCCCTCACCAGGTCATTTGAGGCCTGCAAGTGCATCAACTTGGTGCCTGTCGATTTCCCTGCCCATAGGCGCTGTGACTGCCGTGGGCGATGGAGGGAGCAGCACACTGCCGACGACCTACCTGAACCCTGGGACCTGAGAGGCAGTCGTGTCCTCCTAGAACAGTTGAGATACCCTTACCTATTTGGAGGAGAATGTGGCCAGGTTGGAGGCATGGCTGCTCACACTTTTCATCCACCGCATTCAACACCAGCAGGTCCCCACTGCCAGTCATGACTGCTCCCCCTCACCATATCCACCTGACGCCCAGCACGACCCCCTTCGCCTGTCACACACCTGCTCCCGTTCCGAAACACTGGGAAGCGGAGGTGAAGGCCCAGTTATATTCACATAGAAAACCTTCGATACTACATATGTGGACAAAATACACCTCTACTACAGGATTATATATTAACACATCTAAATTTGTTTGATAATATACGAACAGGGAAGAAAATCTCGGATATATTTACTTATTTAAAAACCCGACAGGACGGAGACTCAGGGATTGATTAGGAGGACCTGAACAGGAGAACCCTGAGACAATATAAGGTGTTAATCATAGGCACAGCGGACGTACCACTTTTACTTAGTCAGTGATGATGAATGAATTACATGATATAGTATGTACAGTAGATAAACAGTGCAGGTATACAGTGAACATAAACAGTGCAGGTATACAGTGAACATAAACAGTGCAGGTATACAGTGAACATAAACAGTGCAGGTATACAGTGAACATAAACAGTGCAGGTATACAGTGAACATAAACAGTGCAGGTATACAGTGAACATAACAGGTATAAGTGAATAAACAGTGCAGGTATACAGTGAACATAAACAGTGCAGGTATACAGTGAACATAAACAGTGCAGGTATACAGTGAACATAAACAGTGCAGGTATACAGTGAACATAAACAGTGCAGGTATACAGTGAACATAAACAGTGCAGGTATACAGTGAACATAAACAGTTACTGTAATATCAATAAACAATGTAGTTACCCAAAAACTTACTATTACTTGTACTTGATAACACTAATAAATTCAGATAATTACCTTAGTTTATTGCACCTTAAGATTAACACAGCCTAAATCCTAACCTAACCCCCCCATAAGTTGAATGAGGCTAGGGGGGGGGGGGTGTACCTGCTGGAACTTGTCACACCTGTCAATTAGGACTTGGATCATCTATACTTCAGTCAAGACTTGGATATATCTCTCCACTTAACATGAGGCCAGTTGGTTCATGAGGCCGGGCGGACATAGGGTACACAGCGAGTCAAGACGTGAGTGAGGATAATTACTTCATGTGAGGTCTCGACTTCAAGTGATTTATGCTGGCCAACATTCTCAAACATTCTTGGGAAATATTCTTGATTTACTTTAGTTTAAGGCATAAAAACAGCGTAAAACCATAACAAAATATAATAAAACTCTACTTTACTTAAATACGTTCACTTGGCACCAAACAATATTGAATTTAATGTAAAATGAACGTATCTATTTAAAAACAACGTATAATAATTCCAATGATTGTGTTTTATATTTTTTTGTGTGTTTTAGCTCCAGTCTACCGTTGGATACATTCTCACCGCATCAGGTTCGAGTAAGTATTATAAAGCCATCGAGATTCCTGAGTCCCTAACCTTAGTATTTCATCATCATAAGGAGTCAATCGAGGAGTAAGTCAAAATTTGGTGAGCTTCAGAGACGTTCAACAGAGGTGGTGAGGTTGGGCGTGTTTACTGTCTAAGATGGAGGCGGCGAGCTGTTGCCAGTGGAGGGGGAGGCGGTAACGTTTGCTCTCCACTAGAAGGTTAAGATCCGTCTTTACCTCACTCACTGTCTCCCCCAGGCTGTTAGGAGTACGTTAGGTTAGGTTAGGTTAGGTTAAAGTAAGTTCACAACACACCACCACACATCACTACAACAGTCACAACACACCACCACCACAACACATCCCCTATAACACACCACCACAACACATCCCCACAACACACCACCACCACAACACATCCCCTACAACACTCCACCACAACACATCCATACAACATACCACCACCACAACACATCCCTACAACACACCACCACCACCACAACACAGCCCTACAACACACCACCACAACACATCCCCACAACACACCACCACCACCACAACACAGCCCTACAACACACCACCACAACACATCCCCCACAAGAGCACCCACCTGACGACGAACACACGATGGTAGTCCCTTGTGAGGTCCTGAGCTAGAAGTCTCCTCAGCGCCGCCGTCAGGAGGTTGGTGTGGAATCTTGTCTCCTCGGGGTCACTCTCCATCACTGTCAACATCATACATCGCCACCATGAGAACACCATCGCCTACACGGGCACTTGATAATACTACTCTGCCTTACCTAACACAAGAAGTACAGTACAGGAGGCAATAATATTAGACAAACAGACAGATAGATAGATAAAGAGACAAACAAACAGACAGACATATTTTTTTGGTAAATTAGTCATACATGTTTACAGTGATTCTTCTGATACATAGACAGTGGCAATCAGTAAGCCTAACTTAACCTATCATAAGATTCCACACACACACAACATAAATAAATAAAATATATATATATATATATATATATATATATATATATATATATATATATATATATATATATACTGTAACTATATCCGGCTACAATGTTCTCCTGACCTGGGGGTGGTTTGCCGTCCACTAGCGCCTGCAGCAGCCTCGTCACCCAGGGAGACAACAGGAGCACCACCTTGACAGAAGATCGGCCATCAGACAGTTTCCCCAGCAGCCACTCACAGGGGTCGGCCAGCTGATTGATGTCATTAGCAACGTATATGTCGTGTACCTGTGACGGAAATATATTGATGTTAAAATCTAACCTAACCTAATCTGACAGTCTAGGTGATAATAAGGAACCTATACCTGACAGTCTAGGTGATGATAAGGAACCTACCTGACAGCCTAGGTGTTGTGTGAAGCGGGAGGACAGGTGTTGTACGCGGGACAGGTGTGTTGGTGAGTCCCGACTGTACAGCAACAAGACGGAGGGTCGATCACACTCCTTCTCTTCTTCTTCATTCCTCTTGTAGGTGTGAGGAGCTGGAGGAGTGACTGAAAATAATAACAATGGATGATAATTACTGATATAATAATAATAATAATTAACGGTTTATTGAAAAGTATAGGAAAAAATGAATCTATACAGTGGATAAAAAAGGGTATATATGTATGTATGTAATAATAATAATAATAATAATAATTAATGGTTTATTGAAAGAGCTTGGCAGCCAAAAGGTTGAAAATATACAGTTACATATTTGGGGAATGGGTTTCGAATTACAAATAATATACAAGTAACATAAGTGATACAAATAAGATATATAATAACTAGATGGGGAAAAGCTCAAACTACAGGGCATTTCAACATAATGACAGTGCAAGAAGTAGTGTTTACTGGGAGCGAATACACTAGTTTATTACAAGTTATTGATAATTTTTACAATGGTTGGGACTGGGCTGTTCTTATAGCGATCAGTTCGTGCTCGTATGGGCTGGATGTGGTTGTGGTGTCGAACAGCAATTCTCGGGCTAGGGATCTCAGGTGGTAGTAGGAGCCGGTGTCGAGGATGGTGTAGAAGCTTCTTACCAAATTTGCAGATGAGGTCGTGGTGATGGTCAGTGAGAGTCGAAAGGGTCAGTGTATTGAGCGCTTCTTGATATGTGGAGTAGGAAGGGGAGAGAATAATCTTGCATGCCCTCTTTTGCACTTTTTCTAGGTGTTTACGTTGTATGTATGTATGTATGTAGCCACCAAAATCCATCGCCATTGTGAGGCAACTCCACGATGGCATGAACGGCAGTGTCCTGCACAATGGCACCAAGTCTGCGTTCTTCCCCATCCAAACAGGGGTTAAACAAGGATGTGTACTGGCACCAACTCTCTTTTCCATTTTCTTGGCTCCCTTCCTTACTCGTACCAGTGCCAATTTAGCCGGCGGGGTGGACATCGAGTACCGGGTGAAGGGTCTTTTCAACATAAGACGACTCCAGGCAGGAACAAAGGTGTCGGTAGCTTCCATTACTAAACTTCAGTATGCAGACGACCTCACCCTTGTCGCTCACACTGAACGTGACCTACGGGCGATCCTGAACACCTACGCAGATGCGCATGCACACTTCGACCTAGAGGTGAATGTACGTAAGACTCAGATTCTCTTTCAACCTGCCCCTGGTTCAGCCACACCTCCACCATCCATCCAGCTTAACGGTACTACCCTCTCTAATGTTACCCAGTTTCGGTATCTCGGCTCCCACCCGTCCACCACTGTTGACATCGATGAAAAGATTCAACATCGGATCAGATGTCCATCTCAAGACTTTGGCAGACACCTTACCCGTGTCTTCAGTTGTAGGGAGCTGAGATGATCGACAAAGTTACACGTATATCGAGCAGTGGTCCTCCCCACCCTGCTATATGGCAATGAGACATGGGTCACATACAGGAGGCACCTCAAGGCACTTGAAAACTTTCACCAACGTAGTCAACGTTCCATCCTCCGAGTTCGCTGGGAAGACAAGAGAACAAATGCCAGTATTCTTGCTGACACCAACTGTAGGAGCATCGAGCCTACCATTATTCATGAACAACTACGCTGGACTGGCCATGTTGACCGCATGAACGACAGTAGACTGCCAAAGCAGCTACTTTACAGTCACCTAACGAATAGTAAACGTAACGCTGGCGAGCAACTGAAAAGGTATAAGGATAGTCTTAAGACAAACCTGAAAAAGTACCAAATCGACCCCATCACCTGGGAGACGATCACTCAACACTGTAACGCTTGGGGGAGCACCACACGAGAAGGTGTCAATACTTTCGAGTTAGCCCGACTGCTTACCGAAGCAGACAAGTACCAACGCCGGAAAGACGCTGCCGCCGCCCCTCCCGCACAAGATGTAGTCGTCCACACGTGCAACATCTGTGGACGACCCTGCCGGTCCCGTATCGACCTCTCTAGTCACCTCAGAGCTCAGCAACGAAGGTGACATCCTTAATAACTCATATCATTGTATCATAGCTGGATGATCGTCATACACGATTCCGAGTGACAGCAAAGTAGTATGTATGTATGTATCAGATTCATGTGTGTGTGTGTACAGTACTTACCCGAGTGTGTGATCTTGCACCTGATAGAAAAGGCAGCAGCTAACATGCCCAGGATGCAAGTGATGCACATCGCCACCACCAACAGCACCACCTTCAGGTTAGTCGTCCACCACGGCCTGAGACACACACAGTAATATGAGACAAGGGAACCTAACCTAACGGGCCCTTTGAACTATTTATGGCTCACACTAGTTCAGCCTAACCTAACCTCTGATTGTTTGTTTACTGGTGCTGAGTGTTAAGATGTTAATATTGATCAAATAAACAAACACTTGACTTGGACAAAACCTTATGCCGTTTTTATTTGTTTATTTAATCAAGACAAGACGAAACATCAGGTGAAATAAGCTAGGAGAGGGGAGGGGAGGGGGTGGTTAATCTTCAGGTGATTCTGCTACTCACAACTTGGGGGCCATCGACGGAGCGGTCTGAGGTGAGAGCTGAGGTACCCGACCCTCTGCAGGGAAGGGCACGATGCTTGACTGTAGGAGGCATTGTGGGTCCATGCTGATTGGCTCAAGCTGCCGGGGTAGAGAGAGTTAGGTTAGGTTAGGTTAGGTTAATCTTCAGGTGAAATAAGTTAGGGTGTCTTATCTTCAGGGGATCCATATTTTTCTTATTATATTATCTCACCAACACCATACTATCTCCCTACCACCATACTATCTCCCTACCACCATACTATCTCTCTACCACCATACTATATCTCTACCACCATACTATCTCTCTACCACCATACTATCTCTCTACCACCATACTATCTCCCTACCACCATACTATCTCCCCACCACCATACTATCTCTCTACCACCATACTATCTCTCTACCACCATACTATCACCCTACCACCATACTATCTCTCTACCACCATACTATCACCCTACCACCATACTATCTCTCTACCACCAAACTATCTCTCTACCACCATACTATCTCTCTACCTCCATACTATCTCTCTACCACCATACTATCTCTCTACCACCATACTATCTCTCTACCACCATACTATCTCTCTACCACCATACTATCTCTCTACCACCATACTATCTCTCTACCACCATACTATCTCTCTACCATCATACTATCTCTCTACCGGTGAAGATAAACTTACTATGAAATAATAGACGGAGTTCGGTAGGAAGCGACTCTTGATATGCAGATACGTGTTGTTGCCGACTTTGTCATAACTGGTTACTGGACAGTCTCCTTCCCGTGGTCGTGGCTGTTCAGGACGGCAGCGGAACACATACAAGTTCCAGGTCTTCACTCGCGGGTCAGGTACTATGGCCAGGTTCAAATTCTCGTCGCTAGAGGAATGTAAAAAAAAAAAAAAGATTTTAATATTCAATGCTACACTAAATTTGGTCATCTTTATGGCAGCACATGGCTATGAAATTAACCCAAAATATTGAGAAAGCTAAAGATTCTGTCCCTAGATGATGACAGACAGAACGACAGGCAGACAGACAGGCAGACAGACAAACAAGAGCCTAAGAGAATGTTTACTGTACCTCAGGGGTGGGAAATGATTTAAGTGAGTGAGTAATTTCACTTGAGGCAGACACTTTAGACAGACACTTTAGACAGACACTTGAGGAAGACACTTTAGACAGGTATTAAAGACAGACACTTGAGGCGATATAACAAAAGCGATTAATAAGGACAGTCGGTGATAATGACCCGACCATCGTTAATGAATAGTATTGCCAGAGACAGAGACACACAGATAGACATAAGCAGACAAAAACAAACAAAAAAACGCATAAAAAGGACAATACAAAAATCAACATAAAGCAAAACACGAACACAAAACTCACTCGAAACACTGGAAATACACACTCAGGTTGTCAAGGTGTTCCCCCGCGGTGGTAAAGGGGGGCGAATATGTCCCGTTGACCCTCAAGCGCTTACAACCTGGGACTATTGGACACACCCGACCTAGGTTCTGTGGCGAGAGAGAGGTGAAGGTGAGGTGACGTGAGGTGAGGTTGAGGTGAGGTAAGTGTTTTATTATACTAACCTCATCTCTCTCTCTCTCTCTCTCTCTGATTAACATGACATGACATTACCTTCGTTACCCTGAAGGTCTCCAACGGGTGATCGTTCTCTCCCTCACAGCTCACCACATCCACGGTCCACCGCTCATCTGTAAGACCCAGCTGTTAGTCTACCTTATCTGGTGTTAGTCTACTTTTTTTTTTGTACTAACAACTAAACTAAAAATATTACTAATAACCATACTGTAAATAAATACAAAAACGAAAAAAAAGATCAATAGTGAGAAACAATATATGTATGTTGTGTTGTCAAAGTAAGAGAAACAATTGAGACCCTGCAATTGTGTGTAAATGAGGCAGAAAGTCAGATCATCAACCTGGGACTTGGTCACATATGGCAGCAGGGTTTACCATTAGACAACACATTATGCTTCCAATATCTTCCCAGGCGGTAGTACCTCCCTGCCTACTACCTACTATCTGGTGTTTAGTCTGAATAATAT